TGAACTAGATGACTTATAGGTCATTATATATATATATATATATATATATATATCATCATATAGGCTCCTTCCAATCCTAGATTCTATGCTCTTAGGATGTTCTGTCCCCCTTCATCTATGGCAAAAATTCTGCAATATTCTCCTTCTCCAGTATGCATCCAAGACTGTGTTAATAGAAGTAAAGGAAGGTTGAGAGGTGGTCAGGCAATGGTTTGCCAGGTTGACATCTCTGGAAAACTATGTCTAATTTAGACCTCAAAATCTGGGGGCCGGGGCAGCTAGGTGGTGCAGTGGATAGAGCACCAGCCCTAAAGTTAGGAGGACCGGCGTTCAAATCTGGCCTTAGACCAAACACTTGACACTTACTAGCTGTGTGACCCTGGGCAAGTCACTTAACCCCAATTGCCTAAAAAAAAAGTCTGGGGGCCAAGTTGTCAGAAACCTATAGAGGGTAACTCTCAATAGGTTTATGCTGGGTTGGGAGAATTCATTGTTTCTGTATCCCTAATCCTGTGTAGGAGTAAAATAGTTCTTTAAGCAAGAGAACTAGGGGTGGCAGAAAGCACGCTGGATTTGGCATCAGAGGGACTGGGTTTGAATCTCAGCACTTCTACTCACTCCCTATGTGACCTTGGACAATTTACTTCTCTGTACCTCCATTTTCTCTTTTGTCAAATAAAGTGATTGGCTTAGATGACCTCTAAGGTCCTTTCCAGCTCTAAATCCTATAGTTCATTGCCATATCACATTTTAGAGACAGATAGAAATGTGTTATGGCCAACAGATGTATGGCAGTTGCTGGAAACAGGACAACAGTTCTGTCCTGGAGATGAGGCGATAGGCTCAGTTCTGGAGCTGCATCTAAGAGAATCCTTTCTCGGGTGCTTCTCATTTTTCCAGTATGGGGCAAGGCTGGGATGGGAGCACAACAAAAGATGTAACAATCTAACCTGTAGCAGTGAAAAAAATTTCTACTAACTTCCCTCTAAGAACAAAGTTTTGATTTTTTTTTTTAAGTTGAATTATCTGGATAATTGCCTCAACCTTCCCCTCCATTTGGCTCGTGTAAACATAGTCTTGGATTGTTTCTACATGATGTCAAAACAAAAATTTTAGTCAATTAACTGGTTGTTTTGTTGACATGGTACCAAAAAACTGAGCCAACTGCTTTATTTATTTATTTATGTTACTGAATCAACTAGTTTCAACTGTAAGATGTAATACAATAACAATCCCGGCTGCTATGATCTCATAAGAAGGCTACCTGGAGTCTGTAAGTTTCTTTTTTTTTTTTGATAACTGTATTCAATATAACTGGCTTCATTTCTAATCCTACATATTTTATTTTAGGCATTTAGAAATATTCCTGGATCTAAGACATCTCCAAAGGCCTCATGATGGAAAATGCTATCCACATCCAAAGAAAGAACTATGGAGTTTGAATGCAGATCGAAGCATACTATTTGCTATTTTTTTTTCTTCTGTTGTGTTTTGTTTCCTCTTTCTGGTAGTTCCTCCTATTGGTTCTAATTCTTACTTACAACATCACTAATGTGAAAATATGTTTAATAGGAATGTATATGTATAGACTATATCAGATTGCACGCCATCTTGGGGAGGGAGATGGGGAGGGAGGGGGAGAAAAATTTAAAACTCAAAAGCTTATGGAAGTAATTGTTGATAATTCAAAATAAAGTAATTTTAAAAAAGAAAAAGAAATATTCCTGGGTCCATTAGCTTCACTAGTGAGCAGGAATGCTCATTAGTCTTTGGACCACACTGAGAATCACAGGTATGGTAGTGGATATATTGGGTGCTGATGTTGGAGTCAGGAAGAAGTTAAGTTTGGTTCTTCCCTCAGATACTGAACTGTGTGATTATGCAAGTCACTTAAATTCTCTGTGACCCAGTTACATTGGGACATGTATCTAGATCTAGAATAGGGCAGTGAGGTGACTTGGTGGATAGAGTACCAAGCTTGAGTCAGGAAGACCTGACACTTATTAGCTCACTCTGTTACTCTGGGAAAGTCACTTAACCTCTGTTTACCTTAATCTACTGGGGAAGGAAATGGCGAACCATCCCAGTATCTTTGCCAAGAAAACCCCATGGACAGGATCATGAGAATCAACTGGACTGAATGACAGCAGAAGATGAAAGTGATCATAAGAATGATAATTAAATTATTATTTGAATAGCTAAGACTTTCTTGGTACTGAAAGTCACAAAAAAAACCTTCTTATAAATTTTGAAAGTGAATAGTAAAATACTTACATTTCCCGCCCATTTCCAGACATCTTGAATCCCCCAAAGGGACTTTGGGCATTTAAGGCGTTGTAACAATTGATCCTGAATGAAGAAAAGATGGGAAATTGTCAGTGGAATCTACTTAATAGTGAAAAAAGGCAATGGGCTAGTTACTCTTATAAAAAGAAAATGCATTTTTAGTAGGTAAAGAAAAATGATATGATTTAAATTTAATTAGATTTCCTGATTTAATGCAATTTAATTTAATTTAATTTAATTTAGCAAACATAAAGTACTAAGATACTTAGCACTGGGTATAAAAGTAGGGGTAGCTAGGTGGCCCACTGAATAGAGTGCCAGGCCTAGAGTCAGGAAGACTCATCTTCCTGAGTTCAAATCTGGCCTCAAACACTTGTTGTGTTGGGAAAGTCACTTAACCCTATTTGCCTCAATTTCCTCATCTGTAAAATGAACTGGAGAAGGAAATGGCAAACCACTCCAGTATCTTTGCCAAGAAAATTCCACTCGGGCTCACAAAGAATTAGACAGGACTGAACAAAAATGAGGATAAAAAGACAAAAGTTTTAAAATTCCTGCCCTCTGAGAGCTTATATTCTACTAAGGGCATACAAACTATAAGTTGTATAATAGATAAGATATTATAGATATCTTAAATAAGTTGTATAATAGATGAGATATTATAAGTTGAATAATAGATGTTATATATAAGTATATAGGAAGTAATTTCAAGAGGGAGAAGAGTCCTAACAACCAGAGGAATTAAGGAAGGCTTTGTGTAGGAAGTGCACTTGAGTTATGAGATGAAATTGCAAACACAAGGTACAGGGCATGTTGACTGAAATGGAAAATTCATGAAAGGATAGTAATGTGAAACAGGACTGGAAATGTGGGTGGGAACCAGATTGTGGAGAGATTGAAATGCTGAGAATGTAATTTTATCCTCGAAGCAACAGGTAGCTACTGAAGGTTTTTGAGTAAGGATGTAGATCATTGACATGGAGGAACCACCCAGATATAAAAAGGAACAGAAGTAGAAGATGGAGTGCTCTAATTGGGGGCTGGATTGCCTTTCTTTCTTTCCATCCTATCTGAGGAGTGTCAACATGACGAGGTTACTTCTGCAGGCAGTTAGTGCCAGGTCTGCCCACTAAAGCAGAGACTTGGAGCCAGAAAAAAAGGGAAAGACTCACCAAACAGTCCCAGCCTGCATCGCTGCTGACACTGTGAGTGCTTTGTTGATATCATTTGTAAAAACAGCAGCGACGAGTCCAAGGTCAGAATTGTTGGCTCGCTCTATAACTTCGTCCACAGTCTTAAACCTCAGGATTTCCTGAACTGGCCCAAAAATCTGCAACAAGGATGAAATGTTTTGCATTAAGCCATTTAAAGTGATTTTTTGATTGCTTTGCCACTATTTTGCCTGTTACCCCCCTCTATTTATTGATTTCATATATGTGTGTGTATGTGTACACATATACACACATACATATAGTGTATCATATGTATATTTATCACATAGATTGTATATATGTTTGTACATATGCATATACATATATACGTGTAATCAACAATATAAGGGTTTAATCAATACCTTTATTGATTCCCTTATTAAAACTTAATTCCAGCAGGACCATACAACAAAATATCCTAAACTTTCTAAGAACAAAATCAAATAAAGAGATTGACTCTGAAGTTTGTATAACATTCAGAATTTGGTTCCCTTGAGCACCGGAGGGCATGTGTGCCTTAGCACATGCACGAGTGTGTTTCTGTGATGCACATAGAAGACATACTCTCATGTTGTACTAAGGACCTCTCCAGCTTGAAAATTCTAGGATTTCCAAGCTCGGAAACCTCTATGTTACATATATGAAGAAGAAGCAGAGGACCAAATGAAGAGGTGGTTGATCCATTCCTGACCAGGGAGATGGATTCTTTGCTTCCCCTCTGTACACAAAGAGGAGCCTTTTTATTTTTATTTTTATTTTTTAAACAGTTAATGTCAGCTTAGTTCCTGACCTATAGGCTGGAAAATTAGTGCAATGTCAGGGCAGATTGGTATATGAGAAAGAATGATAGTCTTGGAGCCAAGAGTACATCACATCTATACTTGGACTCTCTGTGACTATGGACTCTATAAATCTGTTTCTTCTTCTGTAATGAAGGGAAAACAGTAACTATAGTAAGGCACAAATAAGATAATGTAAGCAAAGTATTTTGCAACATTAAAGCATTATATTCATATCTGTTATTATGAAAATGGGTATATTGACATTTGCATTACAAATCATGGCAGGATTATTGTGGGAAAAGTAGCAAACCTTAAAGTGTTTATGTAAATATGAGTTATTAAAAGTTAACTACCATGAAGATTATTATGGAAAACAAAGACCATAATTATTTGGTTTGCTCCATGGGATTCTATCTCGTCTACCCATCTCACAGCTAATTCCTTTTCTTTGGTTTCCAAACTATTTGTATTTGGAATGGCAGAGCATCAGTATTTGTATTACTTAAGCTATTAAAAAAAATAAATCCAGGAAATACAACATCTCAGACTTTCTGCTAAAGCACTCCAGAATGCAACCCTAGGGAAATCTCTGCCTCTCTTAACTGAGATATTGGGTACCTCTTCCTTGGCAATCCGCATGTCGTCGGTAACATTGGAAAACACGGTGGGCTCAATGAAAAAGCCCTTCCGGCCTAGTCCTTTGCCGCCACATTCCAGCTTGGCCCCCTCTGCCACGCCACTCTGGATGAGTTCAAGGATCTTGTTGTACTGTTTTTTGTCGATCTACAAAAAGAAATTACCTTGTCAACATAAGTAAGAAAGTCTGCTATGAAGATGGAAGTGGATAAATGAGTGTGGTATCAATCAATCAGTTGACAAGGATATATTAAGCACCTTCTATGTGCTAAATACTCTGTTGGATGCTAGCGATATAAAGACAGAAATGAAACAGTCCTTACCCTTATGTAGTTTATATTCTATTAAGGAAATAAGTGTGTGAGTGTGTGTGTGTGTATCTGTGTGTATGTATATGTTTATTTATAGGTATGTGTATATACATATTTCCATATGTGTCAATATACATGCACATATGTGCATTATGTATACATGTGTAGATATCTATATATATACATGTGAGTCCATATACATGTGTGTGTGTGCGTATGTGTGTCTTGAGGATTATCACTCAGGCAGTACAGACCTAAAGTAAATTTGAAATATCTATTCCTCAGTTTCACAAGTCTCCCCAGAGTTTTTATCTCCAGAGAGAGTATAACAGAAGTGAGAGGTGATCGTTTATATTTTGATTATGTGCTAATGAATTCTTACAGGTTGTATGTTTTAAGCATTTCTTTTTTGGAAGGAATAAATTTGGAAAGAATAAATAGCTGCCTTGTATTTGATATTTACTATTTTGTATATTGAATAAGTTCTCTAGAAAAGGCCCTGTCTTCCCCTTTTGGGGAGACCCTTCACAAGTCAAATCTGTGTTTTATTTGTGTTTTATTTAAGAGCTCATCTTTAATTCCCAGGTGGAAGCATAATGACAGAGAAAAAGAAGCCCCAAACCCCCTATTTGGGGTTTGGGTCCCCTAGAAATGGATCTGGGTACATTTGGATCTAAAACTAGGACCCCTTTGGGATGGGGGAGGAGAGGCAGGATCAGGGCTATAATACAAACAAAGTAAGTATAATCAAAATAAATACAAAGGATTTTTGGGGAGGATGAGGGGGTACTAACAGCTGGAGGATCAGGAAAGGCATCCTATGGAAAGTTCCTTCATTTGTACTTTTTTAAGTTCCTAGCTTTATGTCTAGGAACTGAGGGACCATATGACCTTAAAAATAATGGCCACCAGAAACATCCCTTAAAATAATAGGTAGTGGCCCTAAATGAGAGGGAGGCAGGCTGCTAGACCAAAAGGCAGCTAACTTACCCACTTAGGTTATTTACATGAAGAATAAGAAATCAAAACCAAATCAATCTTATGGAAAGCACACTGCTTGTTAAAGTGGCCGAAGACTTATAAAATGCTTTGTAAATTAGAAAGTGCTATTTAACTATGTGCTATTATTGTTGTTGAAATTATCAAGGTAGGCTTGCTTTGTGTGTATGAACAAGACTTTTGGAGGGTGGTATGCTTTTAAACTGTAGTTTTTTTATTGAAAAACAAACATTCAACTTGGAAAGGGCATGTTTTCTGTAAGTCCCTACAATACTTAGAGGGGAAAGTATGAAATGCTCACTTTTAAAGGCTAGTCACTAATCAGCATAGTCAGCTGAAGCTGGTTCTTATAAGATGACAGATTATTTATCTTAACAGTTCAGATAAAAGCCTTCCTTCACTTGAGGTTTGGTTTTTTTTTTCCACTTTTTTTTCTTCTTCGTTTTTGCTTGAATTGCCCTGATAAATTCCTGTATCTCCATTTCCCTTTGGCAGTAAAGACATAGTATATCTGTCCAGACCTAAAGCAACATTGGTCCTTATTAGAAGTTTTCATGGAACAACTGGCCCATTCTCATAGGTACTTCTGGGTCTTCTATAAAACCAGATCTCCATTTGGTAAAACTTCTCAGAGCAACACAACAGAGCTCACAGTCAAAGGATGTAACTCCATTCTCTAAAAGGGACATTCCCTATTTTCTCTACTTTTCTGCTCCCACCCACCCCACTCTTTGAAGGAATCATTTTTGATAGGAGACGTCAGAGAGAAATGCTGAGGAGCTCAATGCAAGATCCAGGTTCAAGTCTTACCTCTGATATCTGCTGGCTATGTAACTCTGGGCAACTCTCTATAAGTTGCACAGAATGTACAGACCTTGAATGTAGAGGGTATTCTCCATAACAGCAAAATCTCAGGTCCCAGTTCCTATACCTATCCCTTGCTATAAAATGCTATCACCATTCTCTACATTGCAATAAACTTGGTTGACATGCTTACCAACACATGCCAACCATGACTGATTTAACATTTACCTTCTGTAGGGCTGCACAGAGCCTTAGCACTCAGATAATGTTTAGGCTACAGTGGACTATATGCTTGGAGAACCATTCCATTCCTACAGATTCTATAGATCATTCCTATAGATTAGGGATTTGAACACCTAGCAACTCACTCCTCTTTGCTAGGCACTGGGCCAGGTGCTCTTATAGGCCTAAGCAATGCTTCACATCCTAACAAGTCCTCAGTGCTTTTAAGCAAGTCCTAACCCTTGCCTAAATGGTTGAAGAAGATAATTAGAAGGAATGATGCCCTTGTTTTGTTTTTTTTTTTTCAGAAGCAAAGACAGTGTTGAAGAAATTGCCAGAAATGAAGGCTATCCAAATGCTAATTTGAAAGGGAAAGACTTCTCCATGGCTGAATTTCTAGTCACATGCATGAAAACAAGCAAAGTTCTTTGTATGTTTGTAGAGAGAGAGCAAGTAAAGAAAAAGAGACTTAACATTGAGGGCCCTCCTTAGAATCGACAGCGGCTCTCTGCGGGTGCCTACGTAAAGAAATGAGAGATTTCTTATCACTTACCTGAGGGCCCTGTTCAGTGGTCGGGTCAAAAGGACTCCCAACTATTCGCCTCTTGGCACGCTCCACACTTCTTCGAACAAACTCCTCATAGATGGACTCTTCCACAAAAATGCGGGATCCTGCTGTACAGCACTGACCTTGGTTGAAGAACACTCCCTGGTGGGCCTGCTCCACAGCATAGTCCACTGTAAGATGAAAGTCGCCATTTTTTCTGTGTTGCTCTCATCCACTACATTCCCCACTAGTGAAGCCTACACCTGTGCCTTTTCCCCAAAGCACCCAATGCAATGCAATGCATGAGAGAAATGGGCGGGAAAGGCAACTGAGGTGAGATGTCAATGGAATTGGTGTTTGGTGCCCAACTGGTATCAAGGGGTAACTTTTTTATTTTTAATAGGAAAAGAAAAGAGAAAATGCCCTTCACTTTTTTGATAAACATATGTCATATAATGCCACTCATAATAATGATACCTTTGTCCTTATTCATTCCTTCAGCTGCTAAAGGAATAATGTTATCCAAGTTTCTATTAAATGGATGATATATCCTTTTGATAGAGGGAATAATTAAAACAGAGGGTGAACTTTTAGCTAGTTAAGGGACAAACTGGGAGGTTAAACAACTGGATTTTCTGATGAAATCGAGTAAGCAAAGATGTACTAAGTGTTTATATATGCCAGACACTGAATGGAAGAGGCAGCACATGATAGTGGGGAGGGCACTGGAGTAAGAGTCAAAAAGACCTGGGCTTAACTCCTGCTTTCAGACATTTATTAGCCACGTAAATTTGATCTTACTCCATTGATCTTACTAAGCCTCAGTTTCATCATCTGGGAAATGGGAGGGTTGGACCTGATGGCCTTCAAGGTCCATTCTGGCTAATGGCATGCTGGTAAATGTTTAACAACTATGTCTCTAGGGGAAAAAATGCATGCACAATCCCTTTAAATATAATCTGCATTAACATTTTCTCCATCGCTTTCTTAAGTCTAGAAATGAACTAAACAATAAATCAAGCCCCAGTTCATAGTATTTGTTGATTTCTAAGGTGTAAATGTTCACATTGAAAATATAACAATCAACTCTCACAAGCCAGTTTGAGTGGGCTCTAGTACACCTCAACTTCTAGCTTTAAATCTGTGATCCTATGACCACATCAGTTACGAAATCATCAACCCACTGATAAAACTGAAGATTAAAACAATGGGGCTACCATGTGAACAAAGAGATTCAATTTGTTCTTCTTGGTCCCAGAGGATAGAACTAGGAACAATTAGTAGAAGTTGAAAAAAAGGCAGATTTTGGATTTCTCCCAACAATGAGGGCTCTCTAAAAGAAGAATGGACCACCCTGGGAATCAGGGAACCCTTCATCAGTATGGGACTTCAAGAAGAAGCTGAGGGACCACCTGTTGGGGATTCTGTCAAGGGGATTCTTTTTCTGATACAAGTTAGAACACATGGTGTATGTGGTTCCTTTCAACTCTGAGGAGGCACAAAGATGAATTGGGGAAAATCTCCTTTCCTGGAGAGGCTTAGAAAAAAAGTAGGGCCCTCAGTGATCTAGGGTAGTTTAAATGTCACATGATTCAGAGGCATCACAAGGGTTTATTAATGTATCCCTAGGATTAAAAGTGGCCTCTTTTTATTCACTTGTTAATTCATAATGTTTCTCTCCTCTGCCTCTAATATAAAATAATTTTCTCTCCAAGACAACCAGGATCCAGCTAAGGATGCTTAGCTTCAAAGACCAGGCTCTTAGTAGCTTTTTTAAAAATAGAGATAAAAAAGAAGAGAAGAGAAGAAGAGAGGAGAGGAGAGGAGAGGAGAGAAGAGGAGAGGAGAGGAGAGGAGAGAAGAATACAGAAGAGGGGAGGGGAGAAGAAAAGAGGAGAGAAGAAAGAAAGGAGAGGAGAGGAAAGGAGAGGAGAAGAGACAGAGCTTATGTGTAACTGTCCTGGAAAATGTGTAAAATCTGTAGATGACTTACAATCAGCATCTGCAAAAATAATATTGGGACTCTTCCCTCCAAGCTCCAGAGTTACTCTCTTCAAATTACTCCTTCCAGCTGCTTCTTGGATCAGTTTTCCAACCTGAAAGGGAAGAAAGTGGAGAAAGGTTTAACATGCACTATCATCAGAGAGTTGGCAGCCATAGCCTGCTACGCACAGCAATTGGCTGTAGCAGTAAATAAATAATCATGTATTGAAGACTTACTGGTAGAATAACACAGAGATAGCTCACAGGGCCTTGCCCAGAAGAGGACAGTAGACAAGATAACTTAACTTGTCAATGAAGGATTTTTTTTAGGTCTTTAAGGTCTATGGAAATATCTCAGAGAGTTGGTTTACTATCATAGCTGGAATGAACAGGAAAAAGAGAGGAGGGGAGGGGGTTCTAATCTGGTACCTTGAACACTGAGTGATCTTCTCTCTGAGTAACTGGCATGCATGCCATGGCCCAAATTAGCACAGTGAAATTTCTAAACTTGGATCATGGCCTTGGTATTCAGATTTTGGCCTTTAAAGAAAGCCAAACTACTCTCCGTTTGATATCAAAGGCAACTACATGTCCAACTACGGATGGATGTAAAACACATTATTCAAATGTTCTTTTTAAAAATGCCACGTATTACAATAAACTAATGAAAAAGACAGTGAAATGCTGTGTAATTAAAATGGGCAATCCTAGACCTAAAGAAGAAACGAGAAAATGAACTTTTCCTTTCCTTGAGGTTTGTGGGCAGGAGAATACTATAGTGTATAATGTTGCATAAGCAGTCATGAGGTTCCCAAGAAAGTTGGTCTTGGCATCCTTGAAGGTCCTCTCACAAGACACTCCATCTCCCAGCTTCATGAATGTTTACTTGCTGTCCCCCATGCTTGGAATGCTCTCGCTCCTCATCTCTGCCTCCTGGCTTTCCTAGCTTCCTTCTTCTCCCAGCTAAAATCCCACCTTTCTCAATCTCCCTTAATGCTAATACTTTCCCACTGAAGTTATCTCCAATATATCATACAGATAGAAAGATATCTTGTTTGTATATAGTTATTTGCATGTTGTCTCTCTCATCTGACCATAAGTCCCATGAGAGCAAGAACTGGTTTTTGTTTCTTTTTGCCTTTCTTTTTATCCTCAACATTTAGCACAGTGTCTGGCATATAGTAGGCTATTAATAAATGCTTATTGACTGACCATTACAAGGGATGGCTTACTGATTGGGAGAAGAGGGGGGAAAGGAGGTCTAAATAGAAATGACTGGACATAAAAATAAAAGACATCAACAAAACATTTTTTTAAAGTCAAGGATTAGAATGTGATTCCTTTAATATAATCTTAGGACTGAAAAGAGGTCATCAAATACAGCTCCTGCCTCTAGGTAGGACTGCTTAAAAGAACTCCAGACAGCTCTAGGGCTACTTTTAATATTAAACTATAGTCCTATACTACTTATCTAGAATCTGACCTAAGTAACTGGAAATGGATTTGAAGGTGAGAGTTGGCAAAAGAATAGCCATAAATAAAGCTTGAATGAGTGCTGTGGTTGGTCAGGTTGGTGACCAGAAGACTAGAAAAATAGTTTGTTTCAGGTACTGGGTTGCAAAAGATGGGAGAATCAAGAAAGAATGGAAATATAAAAAAGTTGGTGTTGGTAGAAACTCATGGAAAGGAAGGCAAATGGACAGAACAACAAAGAGATATGGGGTAGAGGTAAACTATAGCAAATAGAGGCAGTGTGTCAGTCAACTAGAATTTATTAAGCATTTACTGTGTGTCAGGCATTGTGCTAAAACTGGGGGTTGAAAGAAAGGCAAAAAGAAGTCCCTGATCTCAAAGAGCACCCCCTCTAATGGGAGGAGACAATATGCAAACAACCATGCAGAAACAATTTATATAAAGGATAAATTGTGAGTGTCTGAAGGGAAAGAGCACTGGCTTTTCATTCAGAGGATCTGGGTTCTGCTACTTACTTTGCTATTTGCTATCTCAAGTGAAATAATGCATGTAAAGTGTTTTACAAACTTGAATACACTATATAAATGGCAGCTATTGTTATTACTTATGTGACCTTGAATACGTTGCTTAACTTCTATGGACTTCAGTTTCAGTATCTATAAAATGAGGAGGTTAGAAATCATCTTTTCAGCTCTAAATCCTATGATAGTATGTGGGGTACTAGATGAGGGCAGAGAAGATAAATTATGCTATCATATAAATTTGTCAGCAAGTATTTACATGTCTAGCATTGTTACAACAGGACTTCCAAAATAGTAGTAGTTGTAAGAGAGGGAGGGAGGGAGGAAGAGAAAAGAAGGAGAAGGAAGAGAAGAAGAAGAGGAAGGAGAAGGAGAAGGAAGTGGAGGAGGAGGAGGAGGAGAAGAAGAAGAAGAAGAAGAAGAAGAAGAAGAAGAAGAAGAAGAAG